TATTTTTCGTCGTTACATCATTCGATATTTTTAGCTATGAGTAATTTATTGATGAACAGGTGTTTTCGCACCATTTCAACTCATAATTTCAGGTATAAATAGAGAGATTTACCCTTCTTTTCTACATTGAATTCCGAATTGCTAATGCATATTTTTTTCACAAACAAAATTTGAATCTTTGAATGATTTGAGACTGCCTTTGAATTCAACAAAATTGTAGGCGTTTGAGGTACTATATTTTTTTACTAAATATTTGTTTTTTTGGGTGTAGGTAGATGTAATATCTCAAAAGAAATGTATATGGGCCTCAAAATCGAGTTTGGAATCTATTTGAGCCATTAACATTCTGTTTGGATCATTGTTACTCATTGTTTCATAATGTACTATATTGTATTGTACTCTATTGTACTGTAATGTTTGGTAGATACAATGTTTGACTATATTATATTGTTTGTTGTTGTTTAATAACATTTTTATTGTTTGGTTTGACTGTATCGTCCTGTTTTCTAATTTATAAACTTACTAAAATATCCTTAATTATTCTAGGGTATGAGGTTTTACTAGAATTAAATAATGCAGGGTAAAGGATAAAATAATAATATGAAATATTATGCAAGGATATAATTGAAAAAAGAAATTAAGTAACAATGGGAACACACCAAATCGATTGTTCCATAAAATGGAGGTTTTCATTGTTACATAACAATGAAATTTAACAATAGAATACAATACATTTTAAGTAACAATCAAAACAAACATTGTAGGTATGATAACGATACAATACAATACAATGGGGAACAATGATCCAAACAGAGTGTAAAAGATAAAATTGACACAAATAAGTCATAGTTTTAGAGTATAACTAAACTAGGCTTAGTGTAGTTTTTTATTCCACTATATCAAACAAAACAAATGGCAATTGTTAGTCTATTAACGTCTAAATTTTAACATAAAATAGAACATTTTCTTCCACTTTATAAAGTGAAAGTTTTTCTTACACTTTATATAGAAATTTTCACTTTACCAAATTTTTTTTTACTTTGTTCCTCAAATTTTCTAACCCTATACTAGTCCCCAACCTGACAATCAAATAATTCGACTCCTCTTTTGAAATTCGAAAGTTCTCATTTGAAGATTTTCAAAAAATTGGACGTTCGTAGTACATTTGTAGCATAACCGACAACCCAACTCCTTAAAATCACAGATGGAATATTGTTAGATTTTATTAAATTCTTATTTTTTTTTTCCTTTTGTCGGTAAATAATCGTGAGTTGTTGCTGGACAAAACTATAAAAGGACAATTGTATAACTAACTTTGTCCTATATTGTGATTGGTTCTATTCAAATAATAACTATTCTTTTCGTACAAAATAGAGCTCATTAGAGGTCTCGGGTTTGAGTTTTGAGTATGAAATTTTTTTCGATAGGGAGCACTATCTCCGGATGGGGCCTTATCTGGCGCAAATTTGAATTAATTGAACTTCAATGCAGATACTAGACACCGAAAGATCTTCTTTTAAAAAAAAGTACAATAGAGCTGGACAAAAATGTAAAAGAACAATTATACACTTACCTACCAATGTTCTCTTCATGTGATGATTGATTCTATTCTAAGTTATAATTGTTGGAGTTTTGGTGTGAGTAAGAAATTAACATAAAAAATAAAAATTTGAAGCTAAGTTTATCGATCAATTTACATTGTATTTGGAAATAAGTAGGTTTATCTTTATTTTCTGATTGAATTTTGAATCACTTTTACATATTTTTCTTACTAACAAAAATCAAGTATGATTTAAGGCTGACTTTGAATTCGACGTAGTTATAGGCGTTAGAGGTACTGCTACTCTTGCAACATGTTTATATTGAGAGAAAGTAATCCATCACCTTGGATAAAATGTGGAGATTGACAACACTCTTCAAAAATAAGTCGAGAGTTCATTTGAAACAAACCTCTTTACTATTACGAGATAGAGATAATATTCACTTAGTGGGATTTCACTGTTATGTTGTTGTTTGTTGATGTCTTCAAAATGTATGGATAAAAATGAGCCAACAATGATTCATATTTGAAAGGACAATTAATAAAAGGCCACGTTATGTAATTCCAAAATGCCTATATAAAGGGAGACCAATATGCAAAGTAAAAAATAAATATATTCATTCTAAATACTACAAGAATTAGAAGGGAAAAAAACCCCTAGCAAATAAAATCACTATTTTTTTTCCGGCAAAAATGGTCACCGTTGACGAGATCCGACGGACACAACGGGCCATGGGGCCCGCCACCGTGTTGGCCATCGGAACAGCCAATCCTACTAATTGTTACGATCAAAGTATCTATCCTGAATATTTTTTCCGTGTCACTGGCAGTGAACATAAAGTTGAACTTATGAACAAGTTTAAGCGCATGTGTAAGATAATTAATTACTCTTTTTATTTGTGGTACACATTCCATTTTACTATTTGTTATATACTCTCATTTTCAATTTATTTGTTAATTCAGTACGACATTTAAAAAATAATTTTATGGTCTTAAATTAAAAATATGTCAAATATACACACACACATATATATATATATATATATATATATATATATATATATATATATATATATATCAAAATGTCCTTTAATTTTGTAGTTTTAAATATATCACGTGAATTTATATTAAAGAGCTACTAAAAAATGTTAATGTACGAACGGATCGATATATGTACATATGCATGCATGTCTCTAGCTCTATGATCACTATCTATAATCTCTCTCTCTCTCTATATATATATATTTAGTAAAGTCTCACAACAAAGTTAAAAATGTATAAGGGGATTTGAAATAATTGACTAGTTTTGTAATATTTATTTTTTTGCCACTTTGACCTAAGGGAAAGATAAAGAGTAAATTTTAGGTGTAGCAAACATAAAAATCATATTTGTATGTTATAGCTATAGTTTGTATAATTGCGCTCCATAGCAAACTTTACTATTAATATGTATATTTCAGTATACATATACAAAAAAAAATCAATTGTTTAATATGTTTCGGTATACATACAAAAGAATCAGTTGTATAATTTGTGTTTGTATAAAGCGAGGAAGAGAGAAAGGCAAAAGAAAACTGGGCAGGGGATGATCTGTATTTGTATAATTATAAGTGTATAAGACGAAAATATATGTATTTGTATATACAATTTTCTCTCGCTTTATACAAACACAAACACAATTTATACATTTGTGTTTAATTTGTATAAAGTGAGAGAGGCGAGTGAGAGTGGTGAACGAGATCTGGGAGAGTGGCGAGCGAGATTCTCTGGGGGAGAGAGGCAAACGAAAAGATATGTATATATATACAATTTTCTCTCACTTTATACAAACACAAACACATTTTATACATTTGTGTTTGTATAAAAGTGAGAGAGGCGAGGGAGCCAGCGAGAAACAAGATTGGTGAGCGAGAATTTCAGGGAGAGAGGCTAATGACAACAGTTTGTTACGGGTTACAATTAAATCAAACTGTGGTTATAATATTTAATTTGAATTAATGGTTCGCTATTTTATACAATTTTTCCAAAAATAAATAAATTACAATGTAAATTAATATAGCATTTTAACGTGGTGTTTAGTAAATTCTCTAATTATGATTTAGTTAACTTATATTAATGATGGTTTACAATTTTCGATTACATTGTTGTAGGTGATGGATCAAAGATTAAAAAGAGATATTTTTATTTAACAGAAGAAATCTTGAAAAAAAATCCTAATATTTGTGAATACAACGCTCCATCATTGGATATTAGGCAAGAAATCACGATTGTTGAGGTGCCAAAACTTGGGAAGGAGGCAGCTGAAAAGGCCATCAATGAATGGGGTCAGTCAAAGTCCAAAATTACACATTTGGTATTTTGCACCACTAGTGGTGTGGATTTGCCTGGGGCCGACTATCAACTCACTAAGCTTCTTGGACTTGAACCATCAGTGAAACGATTCATGATGTACCAACAAGGTTGTTTTGATGGTGGCACTGCTCTTCGATTAGCTAAGGACTTAGCTGAGAATAATAAAGTTGCCCGAGTTCTTGTTGTATGCTCAGAATTAGCCAATTTGGTTTGCTTCCGTAATCCAAATGAAACCGAGCTTGAAGTTTTGGTTGGACAAGCCCTCTTTAGTGATGGGGCATCAGCTGCCATTATTGGTTCAGATCCAATCATGAATGTGGAAAAACCTTTGTTTGAGCTTGTATTCGCAACTCAAACTCTTCTCCCAGATAGTGAATACGCAATTACTGCTTACCTAACTGAGGCTGGGCTGAAGGTCGAGTTACATAAGGATACTCCGATGCTAATCTCAAAAAATATTGAGAGGATTTTAGTGGAAGCATTCCAACCTCTTGACATTTCTGATTGGAACTCTATTTTTTGGGTATCTCATCCAGGTGGACGTGCAATTTTGGATCAAATTGAATTAAAGTTGGGCCTAAAGCCTGAAAAACTCAAGGCAACACGAAATGTATTGAGTGATTATGGGAACATGGCTAGTGCTTGTGTTTTGTTTGTTTTGGATGAGATGAGGAAAACCTCTATCAAGGCAGGATTGGGTACTACAGGTGAAGGCTTTGAATGGGGTGTGCTTTTGGGGTGTGGGCCTGGCCTAACTATTGAGGCACTTGTCCTCCGTAGTGTTTCTATTTAATTAGGTCGCAAAAATGTTTAAAATAAATCGAGGATTAATATCATTATTGTCTTTGTATTTGTTGGTAATGAACTACTACTATATTGTTCACGATTAGTAATGAAATACATTTCGTATCATTATGTTTATTTGTATCAAAGTATATATTGACCCAATGTGGCCACTACAAATTTGGTTTTTGAATGTTCTAGATTTTTATTTTTTTTGTGGCGACTTTGGTTGTCGCTAATCAAGATTGTACCTAAGTGAAAACTTATGAAAGGACGCCACATAAATTAGGACAAAACACAAAGGTATATATCATATATGTTTATATTCAATTCAAAAGTAAAACATTACAAGAAAAAAAAAAACACAAATCAAATTCATTTTTCACACAATTTATATCAATCCACCATCTCTTGCTTAAATAATTTTTTTCAGTACGTAAGATGAACAGTAATCCTTAACAATGTCTCTGCACCATCAGTAACATGTTGCCCTGCTGGTATAAGTGAACGAATTTCCGCGAATCCGCAAGCATTTTTAAATTTACCAGTTCCTCCTGTAACTGAAATTCTTGACATTGTACTTCCAATTCTATAAACTCCGAAAAAATTGAGGCTATCGCCATATTCGCCTCCTTCCATCATGGCGGTAAACGCCATCATTTGAGTAGTTCCATCTGCAGAACTTGAAACATATACACCTTGTGCTTTTCCAAGTTTTTGTGTGCCTAACTCAGGGGACAATGTCAAGTAGTCATCGATAACTGTAATGGTACCTGTCCAGACATAATATAATTAAGATTGTTAAAATTGTGATTTTTCTAGTGACGTAAGTATTTAGATAAGATGTTTACATAGTAAATTCAACATGGTGTTAGAGCAGGTAAGTGTTATTGGATTCAAATTGCACAATTCCACCTTAAAAAGTAAGAGAGATACTTCCACATGTTTGACTAATGAAAAAGAATCAGACGCTCATGTTGACATATAATATAGTTAAGGTAGATGAGATGGTCACACAATCCAATGTGTTTGGCAAATAATAAATAATCACGTTGACACGTCATTGAGACATGGTAAATAACACATTAAAGGTCCTAGGTTCTAATCTTACCGCTATATACCTACAAATAGCAAAGAAAAAGGCCAATGAAAAAGAAGCAGACCTACACGTGAAGGTCATGTTGAGACATGAATAGTATGTAATCAAGCAAGTGGTCCTATGTTCAAATCTCATCATCACAGAAAAAAAAGAAAAAACTAACCAACAAAAAAGAATCAAGACAACATGTGAGAAGCATGTAAAGACATAATATAAGTTTTAAGGTAATCAAAAGTATAATATCTCTCTAACAGCTTAAACTTTTACGTACCAAACCCGAGGCCCAATCCATCAGGGCCTAATTGAGTAGTCACACCACTAGCTTGGCCATTCTGATTTCCAGCAAATATTGTGCCTGCTAAGCCAGTTCCTAGTGGAACACCATTGATATTAAATGTTGGAATTGCACCATTAGAATTAGGAATTGCTACACCATCTTTAGGTGGTTGAAAACCTAAAGGCCTTGCAAAAGGAACTTGTCCACTATAAATATTGCCTAATAATCCGGTAATTGGTCGAGCTGTTGGATTATTTCCTCCCAGAATATCATGCATGTATAACTCGAGTATCGATCCTTCGGGAACTTGAGTGTCAATTGCAACAAGAAGGGGTGATAATTTGGTTATTGCTACTAAGAAAATTGCAAAGAAAACGGAATATGGTGATAACATTTTGAGATTTTGGTTATACGGAAAAACAAAGTTTTTTTTTCTTGTTTATGATTTGTTTGATTGATTATGAAATTATGGTCAAGATTGAAACTATATATAGAAATATAATCATAAGTGGGACATAATGGAGTTGTTGTGACATGGAGTTATGGTGCAATTGTTGGTGTTTTTTTTCCAACTTTTTTGGTGCAATTGTTGGAGTTATTCCAACAAAACCTCACAAAATTTTGTGTCATTATTCATTATGTAACAATAAAAAGTTCTATACATGATTAATTTGTGTTATAGAATGTGTTAGAGTGAGTTGGTTACATTTTGTTAAACAAGGATTAGCTTAATTATTGAACCTAATCCATCTTTAGTTCTTCCTTTTGTTTATTCTTATAATATTTCTTATGTTTGATTGTTTTCTTCCACCATTCATGTAAAGCAAACTCCAATGTTCATCACTGCAATAACAGTGAAAAATGACGGAAGTCGATTTTACAGGGCGGTACTATTTGTTGTTTTTGTTACTATTTGTTATTTCTTGTATTTTTTTTGGGACTATTTTTTCTCTTGAGTCGAGGATCTATCGGAAACAGAGTAGGAAAAAGGTTTACATATACTCTAGCCTCTTCAGACCTCATTTTGTGGGATTATACTGAGTATATTATTATTGTTGTTGTTGAATATGAATAATTCATATAGCTAACCCCGATTAGATTGAAATTAAGGCGTAGTTGATTAATTGATATCGATAGTTTCTAGGAGAGTGTAAATGAGACTTATTAGTTCCAAACAAAAAATCCTAGAAAGTCCAAGCTAACGTGTGTGAATTGTAAGGTTGTAACATTGGGAGGGATTTCTTATTAGAGTTTCAAACCAAATCATGCCAATATTATGGAAGTTTCTGGATCGCTTAAAATAAAAGTAGTACCAAAGGTACAGGAAGTTTTGACCAAAATAAGCTATTTAAAAAACCAATTCACCAAACTAATACGCTTTTTAAATTTTTTACAAAAGTAGTATAAACGTACTTCATGGTAACGTTTTAGGTTATTTTTATTTTAAAAATTCAACGGACAAAAACTGACGGAACTAACGACGTTAAATGAATAAACGTTACTCACAATAACGTTTATTGAAAATCCAATCATGTCAACCCTGCAAATGCAAAATCAAATCCTGCAAATTTAAAATGTTACTCATAGTAACGTTTTAGGTTTAAAACGTTACTCACAGTAACGTTTTAGGTGTAAGAATCCTTTGACTCCTGCAAATTTAGCTATAAAACGTTACTCATAGTAACGTTTTACCTCAAAAACGTGACTGTCAGTTACGACACTCTGTTAAAGTCTTCCTTCATTTTTTAAACTGACCACATGTGATTGTAAAATAAATGTTGTTGTAAGGAATGTTTTGCATATTCCAACAATATTCAACAAAACTTTTACTTGTGTTGCCCATTGTTAAAATAATATTCACAAAACTTTATTAGGTAATAAGTCAAGTGTATCATATTATTAAGAGATTTTTTAAAATAATATTAATAAATTAGAAAAATAATTTTAAAGCTATAGTAAGAACTTAACATAATATGATAAACTTGACTTATTCTAAATTTGCAGGAGTTGAAGACCCGTGATTGGATTCTTAGTAAACGTTACTCATAGTAACGTTTTAAATTTGCAGGATTTGATTCTGCATTTGCAGGGTTGACGTGATTGGATTCTCAATAAACGTTATTGGGAGTAACGTTTTACACCTAAAACGTTACTTACAGTAACGTTTATTCATTTAACGTCGTCAGTTCCGTCAGTTTTTGTCAGTTGAATTTTTAAAATAAAAATAACCTAAAACGTTACCATGAAGTACGTTTATACTACTTTTGTAAAAAATTTAAAAAGCGTATTAGTTTGGTGAATTGATTTTTAAAATAGCTTATTTTGGTCAATGCTTCAAAGGTACAGCTTCTATCACAAATAGAGAATCGAATTTGAATGATTTGTAATAATTATCAAATATTTATAGATATTTAGTAATTTTCCTAATATATACATATGGGTCTAGATCCTGTTCTAGGATCTCCCCATGTGCATTACGTAAAATAATGCATTTATTCCCTCAATAATGTACACACTATACAAGAATATTCAAAACTCAAAAATAAAAAAAGATACACCCTTCACAGTCCCAAACAAGTTAGGGATCAGAACGAATAACTAACCACTTTTATTAATGAAGTGGCTCCCAAGTGTAAGGATTATATTTCTTCCCGCTAGCATCTTCTAGAAAAAATCCTTTATCCGTCACTGTCCATTTACATAAAAGAGTCCGCGGACTAAGTGGTGAATCTCTAATACATCCTTGGAAGACATTGAACACTTCAAAAGCTCTTTCTTTTAAACCCCACCAAAAATGACAAAAAAACATTGTGTTAGCAAAATATTTCTCTTTGAATGACCATTCAAATTTGTTATTTGGACTAAGGTCATGAAATCCCATATCATTATCTTTAGAAGCACAATGAATTTTAATACTATTAAAGGGAAATTTAGTAGGATCAATGTTATTCACAACTTGAACTTGGAATGAATTAACACTTTTTAAATGTAAAATATTTATGAATAATATGATCAATAAAAGAAAAGGTGATTTGATGTATGAAGAACTCATTTTGTAAGTTTTTTTTTTTAAAAGATTTTTTTTTTCTAAGGAAGTTGTTAGTTTAAATTTCTTTGTTATTATTGATAGTACTTGAATTTATAATGCAAAATTATAGCATTCACAGTTACAATGCAATGGTAAGGAGAATTTTTATGATGAAATGTGAATTATATAAGGAAAGGCCATAAAAATGTGAATTATTTTCGTTACGATTATAATCTATGAGAGTATGAGGTATACGTTTTTTTGTTATTTGAAAATTTTGGTTTTTTAGTTCATCTCTATGGAAAACGTGTCTGAATTAATCATTTTGAGGACCCATGAGTGAAATAATATTAATAATTACTTTTAGATATCGTCCATAAATTACGTGAAATCATTTATTTTTTTCGTAGAAGGTTTGTAACGTTTTCTAAAAACTAAAATCGTTCATTTCCTATTGTTTATTTACAACTCTCCTTGAAATGATTCACATAAAAGATGTAACCGTATAAGATAAGTCTGGTATGACGAGTTCGACTGAAAAAATATTGATGTGAAAATAATGATTGATCATTGACCTACCTTATGGGATACCACTTGTTGCACCAACTTAGACACGTTTACAGGGAGTTAGTCTCATTTTGTTTCTTTGGAATTCAGTAGGAAAAGGGGATTATAATTAATTAAGAACTAGTATTATCTACAACGAGGTCCATTACAGATCAGAGAATAGTCTATAGCCCAATTATTGAGCCTAATCCATCTTAATTCTCACTTTAATTTATTCTTATTATTATATTAATTTCTTTCCTAAGTTATTATAGCATTAGCGCAACTTAACTAGGATGACAAACAAGCGGAACGATTATAAAGATGTTGATTTAAACTTTTGTGGGACAATATGAGTGTGACATGGTAATATAGCTCGTCAGGTGTCAATCACAACATTATTTTTTGTTGTAATGAAATATGAATGGTTTGTATTTCCTTTTGATCCATTTGATATGTAAAATTTATTGACTTGACTAATTCAAATATGTGCCGCATATATAATATGAGTAAATCATATGAAAAGTCACTCAAGTACAGGTTCATATAAAAAAAAGTCACTTTAGGAATGGACAATTTGCTAGAAAAATGTTATGGAATAAATTGAAAATGAATAAAAACTAGTTTTGCTACTATAGATTATAGTCTCTCTAATTCCTTCTTAATTAGTCACTTGTAATTAGTAGTGATTAGTTATGATTAAGGATAATATTTAATAAACTTCATGTACCATCTACTATTTTTAAAGAATAAATTGCAAAGTGAAACAACATTCAAAATAAAATACTTATAATTATCAAATATTTATAGATATTTAATAAATCTCTTAATATATATACATATATACAGGGTATAGATCTTCCCCTGCGCATTACATATAATAATGCATTTATTCCCTCTCTAATGTACACCATACAAAAATATTCAAAACTCAAAATAAAAAAGACACACGCTTCACAATCCCAAACAAATTATGGATCGGAGCGAATACCCAACTACTTTTACTTTTTAAGAGGCTCCCAAGCGTAAGCAATATATTTCTTCCCTTTATCGTCTTCCAGAAAAAATCCTATATCCGTTATTGTCCATTTGCATAAACGAGTATCGGGATTGAGTGGTGCATTTTTAATACATCCATGGAAGACATTAAACACTTCAAAAGCTCTCTCTTTTAAGCCCCACCAAAAATGACAAAAAAATAATGTGTTAGAAAAATATCCCTCTTTAAATGTCCATTCAAATTGGTTATTTGGAGTAATGTCATGAAATCCCATATCATTATCTTTAGAAGCACAATGAAGTTTAATACTATTAAAGGGAAATCTAGTTGGATCAATATTATTTACAACTTGAACATGGAATGAACTAGCAACAACATTTTTTAAATTCAAAATATTTATGAATAATATGATCAATAAAAGAAAAGGTGATTTGATGTAGGAAGAACTCATTTTGCAAGTTTTTTTTTTTTTTTTTTTTTGGGTTAGAATTTTTTTTTTCTAAGGAATTTTGTTAGTTTACATTTCTTTGTTATTGTTGGTATTTGAATTTATAATGCAAAATTACAACATTCACAGTTAGAATGTAATGGTAATGAGAATTTTTATGAGGGATGTGAATTATTTAATTAAGGAAGGCCATAAAAAATGCGAATGATATTCTTTATACTTATAACCAGTCGATAGTCTGTCATTGTATAAGACAAGTTCTTTTTAGTGAGGTGTACGTTTAATTTTTTTTTGTTATCTGAACATTTTGGTTTTTCAGTTTATCTCTATGGGGAAAACGTGTCTGAATTATTTGATATATTGGGAGTGAAATAATATTAAATAATTATTTTTAAATATTGTTCATAAATCATATAAAACCTTTTATTTTTCGTCAATGGTTTGTTACTTTTTTAAAAGGTTAGACAATGACAATATCGTGCCTCAAACCTTCTTCTGTTTCTTCTTTTCTCCGTCATACTTTTCTTAGTAATTTTAGCTTTTAATGTCCTATCGTATCGATCAATTTAGCGTAAATAATTAATTCCAAATTTTGTTTAGTATTTACAATTTTAGTAATTTTTGTTTATATTATTTACGCTAAATTGGAATTAATTATTTACGAGCTTCTAGCAAGCATTATGTGAATTAAGAGGTGACATTAATAGATTGGATTATGATTTATAATGTTGATAGATTAATTTACCGTAATCGATTTAACTATTTTGTGTAAGTGTAATATATTGATTATATACAAAAAAAGAAAGTAATTTGCTCAAAAATCGTCTATACAATAATTCAAATTAAAGCCATTGGGTTGAGTATAATCATTTGCTGATCAGCACAGGCAACTAAATGAATGATTTTCTTTTGTATTTGTCACGAATTATACTGTTATTGACATTTTATATGATGTTTGTCTAATAATCTAATGCAAAATGTTGAGTCTGTGCTTGCATGTATCAAAACTTCCTTTTATTGAATTACAACACTTTTGACATTTCATACAATATTTCTCCAAAAAAATAATCACAAGTTAATGCAAAGTATTGAGCTCGTGCTTATATACAGGCTAATATCATCTAATTTATATATAGGATCTAAACAAAATTGTTGCATTTCTGGTGAATCAACATATCCTATTATGGAATGATCTGCCCTACATAGAATAATCTATGTACTAGGGATCAGAGCGAATAACTAATCACTTTTAATTAAGTACTATCCCAAGAGTAAACAAGATATTTTTTCCCTCTATCATCTTCTAGAAAAAATCCTGCATCTGACACTGTCCATCTGCATAAATGAGTCCGAGGGTCAAGTTGTGAATTTCTAATACATCCATGGAAAATATTGAACACTTCAAAAGATTTGTCTTTTGAATCCCACCAAAAGTGACAAAAAAATAAAGTGCTAGAAAAAAATCTCTCACCAAATGACCATTCATATTGATTACTTGGAATAATGTCATGAAATCCCATATCATTATCTTTAGAAGCACAATGAATTTTTAACATATTAGAAGGGTTTGTAGTAGGAATGTCATTTACAATTTGAATATGGAATTTTTTGGGAACAAAAATATTATGTATGTTGAAGCTTCTTACTTGTAAAATATTTATGAATAATATGATCAATATTAGGAAATGTTCTTTGATGGGGAAATAACTCATTTTGTGAGTTTTTTTTTTTGGGTGTATGTTGGGGGGGGGGGGGGGGGGGTTGAGGGTAACTTTTTTTTTTTCCCCTAATAAATTGGTACTTGAATTTATGATGCAAAATTTTAGCACAATAGTTACAATGCAATGATAATGAGAATTTCAATGTGAGTTGTATAAGGAAGGCCATAAAAAACGGTAGGATAATTTCCATTATGTTTATGACCGATCGTCGATCGATGTATTCCAACAAAAATAACTTTTAACGATAATAAATATACATATTAACAAAAAGTATTAAAAGCTTTTATCAGTATTAGTTAATTGTCAGTAGATCTAATGTTGTTATAGGCTTTAGCGACATGAATGGTAAAATATAATTGGCATTAGCAAAGTAGCATTGCCTCTAAAAAAACATATTTAATGGCAACTAAGCTATTGTTATTAATTAATTATCACTAAAGATAATTTTTGGTGCAGTAATAACCCGTGCAATATGCAAAACAGTTCTTTAATTTTAGTGAGGTCTACATATTTTTTTGTAATTTGAACATTATGGTTTGTAGAATTAATATTGATATTTGATAATATTAATTATCAGTAACGTTGTTACACAAAATAAATCATATCCATTTTTTGAGGAAATATATAATTAATCTTATATCTTGTGTTCTGATTTTTTTTTTAAAAAAATAAATAAAGAAACTAGTAAATGATTTTTAGTCAAATAAAGTCGATTTGCCTTTTCAAGTTTTCAGAAAGTCATTATATTCATTTAAAATAAAGGGATTAGTTGAAATATTACTGATCTACAGATCTTTTAATATTTTTGGATAAAAAAATCAGTTGACTTTTGCATTTACATTCATTTAAGATGATAACGTACCTAATCATCAGCTATCTAATTTTTTATTCTAATATAATATTACATTTGCTCAAAGTACTATAAAAAATAAATTATTTAATAACAAACATTGACTAAAATTTATTTTCCTCTCATATGCGTAGAGCGGTAGAGGTGTTATATAAGCGGATAAATTGAATTTAAAAAAATTAAAATGAAACGAGTTAACAAATAGATGAGTAATTATTGAACGTCGGATCTAACTAGACTAAAAACAATAGGTCAGTGCTCAACATGCCTAACTCGTAAGGACATTTGATGTCTTTGTTTGTTTCTTATAATTTGTTTAATTATCTAATACTATTTTTTTTAAAATAATTTGATAAAATTTCTCGTTGATCAATTTGAGATACATTTTAAGCCTAATCTTTAGATGGCCGATTGTGTTCAGCGGTTCAAATTAAATTGAACTAGTCAATAAGCGGGTCATTATTTTGCTTAAACTTAAACGTTGAATATGCTATTTTTCATGGATTAATTTTATCACCTTGCACACAAGAGTGTGAGGGAAATAAAAACTTATTTTGAAACTTGCAAGTTGCAATATTCACTAAGAAATACACATTATAAATACTACCTAGAGCAAGTGAGTTTTTTCATTCTTCAATTTTCCACTCAATAGTCAATATTTCCATCTTCTTTTTTTTTGGAATGGAAACAGTGAAGTTAATAGGTACTCCTTTTAGTTTTTTCACATATAGAGTTATTTGGGCATTAAAGCTAAAGGGAATAAATTATGAGTACATAGATGAAGACATGTCCAAAAAAAGTCCTTTGCTTGTACAATACAATCCAATTCACAAGAAAGTCCCTGTGTTAATCCATGGTGACAAGACAATTTGTGAGTCTATGGTCATCGTCGAATACATCAACGAGACGTGGCAACTGAATCCATTACTTTCAACTGATTCATATGAACGAGCCACATCTCGATTTTGGGCTAAATATATTGAAGAAAAGGTATGAAGTTACTATGATTAGTATTTTCTTTTCTCATACTATTGAGGAGTCACTATTAGAAATTCGCTAATTTTCGACCAATCAAATTCTGACTACTTTGATTGGTCCGAAAAACAGCTAATCGGAAGAGATTGTCGACAGCAACGGCCGGTACCTTCCAACCGCCGTAATCTCTTTTTCTTTTTCTTTTTTCTACCCCGCTCTAGGAGGGCCCACCTTTTTGCTCCCTTGGTAACTCAAACTGACAACTTTAGGGTTGGAAGTGAGTTTGTAGTGCTTACCATCTGAGCAACTCTCTCTTGTCACCGTAATAAAAAAAAGATTACATATATACCCATTGAACATCCCCCCCCCCCTCCCCCCCTCGTACATAAATTTCATGCCTAATCAAATTAAGACACTTAAATTGAAACTGAAACATCGTCTGCTCTAACAAGTATGCAATTGGTTCATCTTAGTTAGATTTACTCATCCTTCTTTGTTTCCACTTAGCTAGTACTCAAAACTCACACCGTTGAACTTGTTGAGGATATAATTAAGTAAATAAAATGTAATATTACCTTACTTTTTTTTTGTTAAATTGTGATGCAGTCACATAATACATGGAATGTGTTTTGCAACACTGGAGAAAAGCAACAAAATGCTATAAAGGAGAGCCTTGAAATGTTTAAAACCATAGAGGAAAATGTTTTGGGAGAAAACAATATATTATTTGGTGGTGAAAATATTGGACTTGTTGACATAGCTTTTGGAGGTTATTCTCATTGGATGGAAATTATTGAAGAAATTGTTGGAGTTAAATTACTTGATCCTCACAATTTTCCTCGTATTAACAAATGGATTAAAAACTTCAAAGAAGTTAAAGCAATCAAAGATAATTTACCTAATCGTGATGAGATGTTTGTGTACATGAAAAATGCTAGGGAAAGGATGTTAGCATCTCCGTAACGAGGCAGGTTCGAGCTCTGAGTATAGAATCGTCTTTGTTAGGTAGAGAACGCTTTATATCTCTCGATGAGACTTTTCGGTGAGGCATGATATAGTTGGGCTCTAGGATGAATCTAGTGTGTTAATGGTTATGGGTTCATGCTGCTTAGACCATGTATTTCAAATAAATGTATAAGAATCTTTAACTTGGAATCAACTCCGTTTGTCTGATGATTATTGTGTATTAATTTGAGATTGTTGTAGTAACTCATAAACTAAAAATTCTAGAGCAAATCGGGCTTCAATGAAGATACAAAATATCGAGTAGAGAAAATCATAAAGAAAAAAGAACAAAGTTCATTAATTTTTAAGTGTTAGTTAACTATATATGTTTCGATCTTGATATGAATTCTTTGTATTCATTTTTATTCTATGCAATCGTCGAAGAATATTGTAAAGAATATGTATGATATGTTTAGCATCACAACAACTCGAATAACAATGGGTTTATACACTTAAAAGAAAACACTTTAGGTAGTTATAGTCACAAGAAAATCGTAATATATTTGGATCGTCTTCTCAAAGAATTTGAACACATGAAGTTCACTTGTTTCACGTTGAAATTTTATTAATATCAAATACGAAACGACTTACTAAAAAAATGAATATAAATAAACCAAAAATATAGTGGAGAGTGAAATCAAGTGAATTCATATAGAAAATAAAAAAAGAAATTAATAGCATAAAGAATCTTAATTAGATATAAATTTGTGATACACAAATATCAGGGTCACATATTATACGTGACTTGTACATTTTTAAGATTTAGGTTTTCAATTTGGCAAGGTTAAAATAGGAGTAAAAGTTCTACGACCTTAATTCTATTTCAAAAGTAGTTAAAATTATATCCAATTATATAAAGACGGATGTAAATCTTTTATTATCTATTGATTACCTTCTTTTCCGTTTCTTAAAGTTCAATCATAAACCTAAATAAAGAATTTGTACCTACCAAATAAGCCGATAGAGTTAGAGGCAGACCTACGTGGTTCCAGGGATTCACTCAAACCTAATTGGTAAAAAATTACACTGTATATATAGGATAAATTTTCAATATTTTTGTATATATACTAATTTTAAAGTACCTTAATCAAAGAAGAGAAATAGTCTCGTAGTACTGGACTGTGCAACTTGGACTGCGAATGCAATCCCCAGTTTGCAGATTCGATTCCTGAATAGTGTAACAACTTTCCAAAATTATAGAAACGTTTTTCTTAAAAGGAAATGCTCCCTCAAATTTTTAAAATTTTCTATTATAGTTTATTGCGTGTAATAAAACAGTTAATAGAGAGCTACATTCAATATGACGAAGCTCATCATTCCGAATTGAAAATGAAAGAAAAGACCAAATCTTTTTTTTTTTACGAGTCTGTTTTCAAACTTCTAAAATCAACTTAGTTTTTTTAAGAAAATAATATATTAAAAAATCATAAAACTAAATTAGTAAAAAAAAAAAGAAATTTGAGAGAGAAATCAAATTTCCGGAAAAAAAAAAAAACAGAGAGCCGTTCGGTTCTCCCTCTAATTTCTCCCTTTCCAAATCCATTTTTTAGATTCCTTTTAATCCAAATTTAGGTTTTTTTTCGTCTTTTATCTTTCAAAATTCTCCAATTTTTTCCTATTAATTACCCAAAATCGATAATTAAGTTTTTTAATCCGTCAAAATTGATCTACAGATTCACTTACATTGCTAATTGATCTGTATTTTAGTTGAAAATCTGATAATTATTAGGGTTTCGGATGATGATTTAAGGGAATTTTGAAAAGAATATTTTTTGTGGATTCGAATGGCATCGGCTCAGGTTCTGCGAAAGCAAGATCTTTTGCAAGCTGGGAGAAAAAAGGTATGATTTTTTTTTCAGAAAGATTTATGATGATTGTTGTTTTGAATTTAATTCATTTAGTTAGTTGGATTACTAGATTCTAGGTAAAATTATGTATTCCTGGACTCTGCGTATAGCGGGAGCTTAGTGCATTGGTTTGTCCTTTTGTTTCAGTTGGATTACTAGATTCTAGGTAAAATTGCGTATTTCCGGAATCTGCCTATACCGGGAGCTTAGTGCCCTTTTGTTTTTAGTTGGATTATTAGATTCTAGATAAAATTGTGTATTCTCGGACTCTGCGTATAGCGGGAGCTTAGTGCATTGGTTTGCCCTTTTGTTTCAGTTGGATTACTAGATTCTAGGTAAAATTGCGTATTTCCGGACTCTGCCTATACCGGGAGCTTAGTGCATTGGTTTGTCCTTTTGATTTTAGTTGGATTTCTAGATTCTAGGTAAAATTGCATATTCCCGAACTCTGCGTATAGCGGGAGCTTAGTGCATTGGTTTGTCCTTTTGTTTTTAGTTGGATTTCTAGATTCTAGGTAAAATTGCATATTTTCGGACTCTGCGTATAGCGGGGAGCTTAGTGCATTGGCTTGTCCTTTTGTTTTTAGTTAGATTTTTAGATTCTAGGTAAAATTGTGTATTTCCGAATCCCGCATATAGAAGGAGCTTAGTGCATCGGTTTGTACTTTTGTTTTTAGTTGGATTTCTAGATTCTAGGTAAAATTGTGTATTTTTGAATCCCATGTATAGAAGGATCTTAGTGCATCAGTTTGTCCTTTTGTTTTTAGTTGGATTTCTATATTCTAGGTAAAATTGCGCATTTCTTAATCCCGCGTATAGAAGGAGCTTAGTGCATCGGTTTGTCCTTTTGTTTTTAGTTGGATTACTAGATTGGTGGAAAAGAATGAATCTTTTTTGATTTAGGATGTTCTAACACATTATTTGAGCAATGTTTTATGTTTTTCTATCATTTAGTGCTTGTTCTAGAGCGAGTACTGCGGTGAAACGGGTGGAAATAGTGGAATGGTTGTTGAGGAAATTGGTTTACTGAATGTTTATTCTGATTTCTGAATAATATTAGTGAGCTGAAGATTTGTAGTATGCAGGAATTGAAAGTTGCGCATTCCTGGACCCAGACATAGTAGGTGCTTAGTGCACTGGTTTGCCCTTTTATTTTTAGTTGGATTACTAGATTGGTGGAAAAGAATGCATTTTTTTTTATTTAGGATGTTCTAATTATCATTTAATGTTTGTTCTGGAACAAGTACTACTGTGAAACGGGTGGAAATAGTCGAATGCTTGTTGAGGATATTGGCTTACCGAATGTTTATCCTGAATAATATTAGTGAGCTGAAGATTTGTAGTATGAGGGAATTGCTAGATAGATACTCCCTCCATTTCAATTTATTTCGTCTGATTTTGACTTGGTATGTAGTTTAAAAAGTAAAGAAGACTTTTGAATCTTTTATACTTAAATTAAAGATACATCGAATATGGGTAATGTACCAAATTTCCCTTTAATCTCATGGTTTTAAACGTGCTATCTGGAATGTTGGAATTAAAAAGTTGGCAAAAAAGGAAAGAGACATTCCTTTTTGAAACTGACTAAAAAGGAAAGTAAGGCAAACAAATTGGAATGGAGGGAGTATTTATTTTGTGCATACTTAGATTAACAAAATAGTATCTATTGATATGTCCCAATGATGGGAAAATTTTGAGATGGGCTGCTCTGATCTGACTTTAACTTAGCTTTTCCTGTGGGTAATTTCTATAATCAAGGGCGGAATGATCTAACTGCGGGCCACTACACCACATTTTAAGCAAAATTTCAGTCAGTGTTGTCAAAGACTCATTTAAGGTGCACGCCCTGAAGCTCAGAAAAATGCAGGGAGGGCGCTTCACCTCGCTTAAGTTGCGCTGTGAAGGCAAGGAACTGAGGCTTGCACATCACTGCCATGAATTCTAGCTTGAATGGAGCTGTATTAAACAACAAATTTAATCGGCAAATAAGTGTATTACATAGTTGTTAAGGAAAAGATTATGAATGAATTTGTTACCTTTTACTTGAATTACATATTTCTGTATAAATACATTTTCCCCCTTTCATTGCACCTTATTTTTACCAAGCCCACACTTCAATTTCACTTTGCGCTTAAAGATGCAATAGACCTAACGCTCTTTTTAGAGCCTTTCACCTTTGGTGCAAGTTTCAACTACATATTTAGTCACACCGAGAAACCAGTTGATGTTGTTGCTTGAGAACACATTTTGTAGCACATTTTTCTTTTATACTAGTTTGAATAATACTAGCTTTCAGCAGTCATAAAAAGTTATACTTAGGTGAGATGCGAGGAAAAATTATCATTGTGTAGACCATTTTCTATGTCAATGAAAGAGCCTCTAATATCAGAATATGTAAAGGTAACTAGTATGAAATGAAGAAAGCTAGGTGATGCAGTGACACTAGAGACACTTGAATAAGTGGCTTCTTGAGCTGTTCAGATTTTTGGATGCTTTCCTCTTGGTTTGAGTTCAGCCAAATATGCAACATATGATCGTTGTATAAAGCTTTTCATGGACCGGATTTCAATTAAGATCAATGGGATCTTATCAATACTTAACTTATTTGTAAATTGTAATCACATGCACATTATCCTTTATATAGGGTGAACATTAGCAGGATAGTGTTAGCTTAGATAGTTTCTTTTTTTCCCTTATGCCTATTATTTGGAGAAAGAATATGCCTATTATTATGCCTTGATTAGCAACGGAAACAATATGTGATACTTGTTAGTTAATTAATGAATATCCGGTTGGAGTATTAGCTCATTTATAGCATGTACTCCATTATAGTATTAGTTAATTAATGGCGTGTATACTTGTAAAACGCTGTCTCTAAAGAACGGTCATTATTAAACTCCTGTACATTCTTTCATCACGATCGGAACATGTCTCCTAAAAGATCTACACGCAACGAACACATTTATACTTATACAGATACTTATACAGTTATACCTATTTCATATGAGTCACACCAAAAAGATGAATGAAACAAGATATGCATCACGAACTTTGTATTGGGCATTACATATAGGGCTTTAGCCTTGTATTGAGTAAGTGCCTGAGTTGGAGATAATAAGACTTGAACAGTTGATGTTTTCCATGGTTGCAAGAAAAGAAATTCTCGTTCTATGCTCTGGTGAGTGGTGATCTCTAGCTTGCCAGACACGCGAACTCCAGTCATTCTCCAAATCATATTCCATGATTCCAAAGAAGCCTATTCATCTATTTTTATAAAAGAAGAAGTTTAT